ATTAAAGAATATTTTTCCGTCGATTTTTCAGAGAAATTTTGTCGTAATTTTTACATAATAAATATCGGAAGATTTCAAAGAAAACTAATCATGACTACCTTCAAGAATACACGATCATTCGCGAAGGACTTGGCAACATTGGAATGTTCATACAGCGTTTTTCCTCAGCACGGCAAAGCTCGTCAGTGACGTAGGTAACGCTGTCGGGCATGTTGACGGACACTTTGACGCTATAGTATGTTCCACCTCGAATCCGGGGCTTTGTTTTTCCCTGCTCTTTGACTTCGTGTTTGCACGTTGTTCTCGTCCACAGACAAAAAGAGACCCTCCAATGGACCACTAGACAAGGTACGAATTTCAGCACTCTGATACATGTTCCTTAATCAAAATTCACGTAGAACACGACGCGGACAACGAAAATTACCGAAAGCAACTCCTTACGATGATATTTAATAGTTCTCGATGCGTAAATTCAAACCACCCGCTAATGAAAACTCAATGCTCTACGTGATTCACATCACGCGCTAAACGTTATCATGACAGTCTCTACGATTAAAAATCGGGCAATCTCTATCTTGACGCTTTGGCTCATATAGCAAATTGCTCATAGTTTGAACAACTTATGGTGGGAAATGAACATTGCTCGATTGAGAAGCTTGCTGAAACCGTTGTAGTGCTCGATTTGACTCGCGTGGAGCTTTGAGTTTCTTGTGAGCGGGCAGTTCAAATTCATCGTAACCAATGTGAAATAAAAACGTTAATATCTTCGTTAAGAGTTGGTTTCAGTAATTTTCGTTGCGTGAATCGTGTTCTACGCGAAATTCTGGTTAAGAAACATGTATCAGATTGCTTAAATTCATACCTTGTTAAGTGGTCCATTGCATCTTACCGACCAGTGGAAACTGTTATTTTCGAGGATTCAACACCTTCCTTTGGACGGTTCGGTGTGGCGTTTGCGGATTCTCATGTTTTGATGGTGGCAATTAAGGACGTTCGCAATTTGTGCAAATGTCCCGCAAAAGTGGACTTACGTACAAATGCGAGGTAGTGGAACGCTATGTCGAGCGCTTTTGTGAACGCTGTATGTCTCACTTTTATACAATCAATATGAATTTGGCTGTTTTAGCTATTTTAGCGCTTTAGCGCTACAAGAGATTCGACGAAATTTGAAGGAAACACGATCTCGAAAATTTGACACCTCACCTAACTGCTCTTTTCGCTATCACGGCAGAATAGTTGTCTCCGTGCAAAGAAAAGCACGAACAATCCTAATATCTCGGAGGCAGCCTTCACATTCGTGTAAAAAATCACTTCTTCCGGGTTTGGATAGCTGCAAGAGGTGGTGAAAAATGTCCTGCACTCGGGGAGGCACCCACGTAGAAATAATTCGGACGTTGTTCCCGCGGAAACTCGGGAGTCGGCGGATCGAGCCGGTCCCGCAAAAGCTCATCGGAGATAAATTGCGCCGCTTCCAAGATCTGGGCGCGGAAAGCTCCAGCAGAAAGTTCCGACCTCTTGGAGCTAATTTTTAATTGTCTGCGGTGCACCGCGTTCCCGCCGTCATGCGGGTTGCTTCACTCAGGAGCCGCGATGATCTCGGCAAGTGCAAAGTTGCCGCTTCCAGTTATGAATCGATTGTTGAACAACTGGAGGCAGAATAATTGGTGACGTCTTAATAAGTTCTTGATTGTTCTTGAATGTATACCATTTTCGAGTCCCTAATCGAATATATCCTTGGATCTTGAGAAATCGCCAACATTTACTTGGTTGCTAAGGAGGCGAATAAGGCAAAATACAGATCATGAGAAGTATATACAGGGTTATTCAAAAATCACGCACTACTGGCGATGAGGAGGGCGACCATTTGAAATTTTTGTGTTGCCCCTCGCTCCCCCCTTCTTTTGAGGGGATCAAAAACTGGAAAGTACCTAAAAAATCCCCCCCCCCCCGATATGAGGGAAAACGCCACAAACGGCGAGTCGATATCTTAATTACAAGTAAAGTTATGGCCGGTGTTGCGTGACTTCTGAATATCCCTGTAGGATATCAAAGAATAGCAAAAATTTAGTATCCAATTTGATTTTGCATATTTTGTTTAAATAGATGATCAACATATTGAAGATTCGATTATTTTATTTCCTTTTCTGATAGAATCTTTAAAAATTTTGGATGCGTCATCTTTACGTCACATTTGCATCAAAATTGACTAGTTATAGAGAATAGAGGTACGGAAAGAGGATATTTCCATTTCCTTTGTAAATCTAAATACCTCCAAAAAAAAGAAGAAAAAAAATAGGTCCCTGGAAGTTTGTTAATTTTGTTGAATTCTTTAATTTTACCTATCAGAATGCCTTGAAAAGCATTCCATTTTCTTCTCCAAAAGCTGTGAAAAACTCCACTCCTGACAGAAAACCTAATCGATCACCTATTTTACTACCCGCAAATCAGGTTTTCCTTTTCCACATGTCTCATTTTTTTGACATGTTTTCTGTGTTTTTTATTGTAGCATATCTTGGATTGAGATTTTTCTTGTCTTTTGTATTTTTGGTTTTGGAAGGATCCCCAAAATTCTGAGGAGTCTATTTGAACTTCTCTTGAATAGAGGCTCATCCATGGTCGGGCAACCGGGAAGGGGGCGCAAGTGTGCCGGTATCGGATGCGACGCGGGCTTTGACGCTTCGTGCTTTGCTGAACACGGGCGCAAATCGCGCTCCTAAATTTATTCGCGACATGTGCGAGTGCGACTGCCAGTGTGTGCGTTTGCGAGAGCGAGCCAGCGTGTCCCGTCGTCGCCGCAATTGTAAACTAACGCAATTAAAATTCCTTGGAGCGAAAACAAGGCAGTCTTACAATACGACCGCCGCCGCCCCCCAGCTCCGGACCCCCGCTGGCTCCGGCCCCTGGCGACCTTCCGCCCAATTCGCCAGACCTCTGACCCCGGGTCCATTTCCAGCTCCGTCCCCGCGCAAATACACGTCATTTTCCCACCCGCGTTGCGCATTCGGAAAATATTGCGGGAAATTGACTATCCCTGTTTAAATTTGCTGATAGTGGGCCAAATTCCAAGCCTTAAACTCTGTTGAAAATTGTGGAGTGAAATTCCAGGCCGGAGCCTATATAGCGCCCAAAACCCCCAATGATATGAAGGCGGACACGAAAAAAAAGAGGCCACTATTCTCTGAGCTATGCTATTGTATGGCACTCACCAAGTATTGAATTTCTACTTTTCACTTAGTTTCGTGAAATGATAGCGATAGTTTACACTGGAAAAAAACAAATTGGATCTAGAGGCCAGACTCTTAAAAACATCGACAAAGAAAAAGTACTCTTGATTCAATCAGAATCTAGCTTAAATAAAAAACCAAGCCTCCTAATTTGAACGGATCCCGTTTTGATTCAAGCAAAAATTCGATTAAATCGAGAGAATTTTTTTTTGTCAATGTTTTCAAGAGTCTGGACTCTAGATCCAATGTGTTTTTTTTTCCAGTGTACTGTTAAATGGAAATTATGAGGAGTATCTTTGGATGTGAAACTGCGCGGATATCTTAGTTTTTTGCATACATTATTATGGCAACTTGTTACAAGTAAGCATATTTGTCCGTAAACAATGGAAAGTATACGGTACGATAAAGTAACCGATATTTCGTGTTAATATGGGAAGTAAAACACAAAAAAAACCCTAGCCTTCAGTTGATTCTTGAGTTTCCCAGCCTGGCCATTGTTTTCTGCGCTAAATTCACCGCAAACTGTAGCAAAGTCAACCTAAGATTTGGGTTAGTTCGTGTTTCACTTCCTACTTCAACCAAAAGTAACGCAAGAACCCCAACATTTTTCTCAGTGTATAATAACCGTCCGAAAAGGGAGTTTACGATGATTGTATAGTTCTGTAAATCTCGATTATCGTATAGACCGTTATTGTATCGAAGGTTTTACGAGGCAAATACTGAAACCAACTTTCAGACTGTATTGCATCTACTTACCTTGAGAAAATAACCAGAAATCAATCGTGAGCAGTTTCTTTGAATAACTAGTCTCATTAATAATCAAAAAGTCCCGAATGAAAGGGGCTTTTTTTCGGGACGAGGAAAAGCGTAACATAACTTCAAGAGGTATAAAAATTCCGGCGTCAAGAAATGTCAGTTAGACGTCAGCCGCCTCTCATTTTGTGTCAATAAGTTCATTAATCATAAGCTGGAAATTGAAATTTTCCTCTCCTACATCAATCGTGCTTTCGGCGCGTGATCAACGTGAAATTACTCCCGGCACTTACTGAATAATTCAGAAGCCTCCCATTTCGACGGATGAAGGAGTACATGTGTGTTTTGGCGTCAATTTTTTGATGGATGGGGCTCGGACCGAACAAAACTTGGGACGTCAAGTTGCTCACCGCTCGCTAACACAAAGGACAATAGCGATTGCTGAAAGGATAGGAATAACTCTCATCAGAAACATGTTTCGGTGAAGGTTTTTTTGGTCGCAGGCTGCGAATTCGGCAAGGCTGCTCGGGGGCGTCCTAAAAGTTTGAGATTACCAATGAGATTTGTATTATTTGAGAAAATTCTATCGGTATCTCAAAATAGACATTTAAGTCCCATGATTTAAGAGTTCTATTTTCGACGTACCTAACCCATGTTCATCTTGAGAACCGAACACTCGCCGTGCAATTATTCCTATTCGAATCAGTGAGAACGAAAACACGCACCAACTCGAACAAAATGAATATAATCAAGGCACATACATAACTGCACAGTAGGTGAAGAAGTCAGTCTAGAAAACAGATTTTGATGCTGAAAGACAAGTACTTGAAGATACTTTAAAGGTCCAAGTTAGAACAGATGCGCTAACTTCAATGACCTTTATAAAAATTGACTGTCTGCAATGAAAATCGAGCACTTTCGAGTTACCGAGTTGGTGTGTTTTCGTACTCACTGACTCATTCATTAACGATGAATACGTTAAACAAGCAATCATCTAATCGCAATTGCTTTCGCTTGTTACAGGTAATTTGTCATGCATCTCCTTTGGATTTACTAATGAGGCTGTCCAGTAAGTTCGCTTTTTTTCATTCTTAGTTCATTCTTTTCTTATACACTGAGAAAACACTATGGCTTATAAACCTATTAGAGGTAAATATGGAACACCACTAATAGTAGTACCTCTACATATAATAATAGCACATATACCTTAGTTATGGTACGTGTACCTTAATTAGGTACAGAGACCTATGTATGGTTCACAGACCGAGAATCATTAGTTTATTTACGACTATTATAGGTGTTCCATATTTACCTATAATAGGTTTATAAACCATAGTTTTTTCTCAGTGTAGCGTGCGCTCCTATGTGTACAGCAATGCTGGTGTGGAAAACTATATCCTGTTCCACTTGCTTCAATCTTACTTGCTTCGCACTGAGAAAAAACTATGGCTTATAAACCTATTAGAGGTAAATATGGAACACCACTAATAGTAGTACCTCTACATATAATAATAGCACATATACCTTAGTTATGGTCTCTGTACCTTAATTAGGTACAGAGACCTTAGTATGGTTCACAGACCGAGAATCATTAGTTTATTTACGACTATTATAGGTGTTCCATATTTACCACTAATAGGTTTATAAACCATAGCTTTTTCTCAGTGCGTAGCAACTGGTATATTACACGCCCGATAAAGGAAAACTCTGTACTTAAAGGACTGTCCGTTAGATACGTAATGCACTTTTTCGCATTTTTACCCTCCTCCTCTCTTGAAAAGCGTTTTTGACGGAGGCTATCACTATATGCTCTGCGGGCTGCTGATTGAAATTGACAGACATAGCCATAGACAAAGAAGATATAGAGACTATGGAGCGATCTTATTGGTTGAACTGGTTTGTTCCTGTAGACTGACGGGATGAAACGATGGTCTCTCGTTTGGTACCGTTACCTAAGTAGCGTTACCTACGTTCTTTTTCCATTGCAACCACCCGCTCCGCTTCCACCAATAGCATTCCTCCATAACCCTTTTGTCTTGTGCTTCAATTACAAGAATTAGCCTACTGCTGATTGACAAGTAGTGACGACACTGATGCAGTATGGGTTCTTGTATTTTGCTCGTTTTCTGAAAACAAAATTCATCATGCGTGGGTAAAGACGTTAATCTCGTTGTGTTTACCACGAGTGCAGCCAAGTTCTTGCAATAGACGTAGTGAAAACATCAGGATAGAGAGGATGAGAAGCTATTTTTATCCCTCCTTCCTGCAGGGAATATTAAAATTAAAGTTACTTCGCACTACTCGTTGCACGAATGTTAATTTTATAGCGGAACTTATTGCGCAACTTCCCAAGGAGACACTGTAAATAAATATGAGCAACATTCTCGTAAAAGATCGACTGCATCAACTTGCACAGGGTTGCAAACTTATAATGAAAACTTTGTTACCCTTTAAACAATGCTGAGTGAAGAGCTGGCATAGAGAAAAAAACTAGGAGATCGCGTTTTGAGAATTCGTACGGACCTACGTCATCAATACCAAGACGTCAATTAAGGTTTTATAAGGAATGAAGGGGCGGAATTTCAACCCAGGTGTTTTTTAAATCATCCTCATTGTGCCATATGAAAAATCGAATGCCAGAATTCTTACGGAAATTTTATTCGCAAATCAATTAGCGGATGATGAGTGCATTGGTAAATTTATGGTGTTAAAAAATGGTGCTAAATTCTTGAACAGATTAACCTATAGTTTCTGCCACCAGTGGTGAAATTGGTAAAGAGAGGCTTCTTAACGATTCTCGAGCTCGTAATGAGACTTTACCGTTCATAATAATTTTACTAACGTCAATTGAAAACGGCCATGTCTCATCCATGAGTTGAATTTTGAAAACAATTAGTCCATTACTGTATTCTTCTTAAAAGGAGGACATTGAAATCGGAGGTGCGCATTTTTCAGTGGCGAGGCGTGAATGATCGATTATCGATAATCTCCCATTTGAAGCTACGGCGAAGAATCGATTATTAATACGTTCGCTGCGAACACAACACCCTGTTTATCGATTCTTGTCCATGTGATTAAATGGCAGATTAATCAATATACCGCAAAGCACGCACGCCACTGGCATTTTTTGACTTGGGCCTCTTCCATTCCAAGGTGAAACGTAACGTTTTAAGCGGAACACCGTATTTGGGTTTTTTCTTGCAGACAGAAAATCCACTTTTCCTGTTCACTTTGACAACGATGGTGGGGCTAGGATGTGAGCGCGGCGATTTGCGACGAGATTACGGGGATCCGACACTGGGGCAGGATTTTCCGGAAGTTACCGAGGCCCCCCGAAGTCGGCTCTCTCCCGCCGTTGGAGTGCAGGCAAGGAGAAAGTTGAAAAAAGTTCGAAAAGCGCCATTAAGCTCTATCCCCACTGTCGCACTTAGAATTAAACGTTGCGCTCCTGCACGTTAAGCGCGATGCTCGGCTAACCCGCGATGCCCTTTTGCCGACTTTGAACTCCGAGAGACTTTTCTCGACAGGTTGTAAGTTGTAACTGTTCGATTCGAGGGCTCTCGCACCCTTGTACCGAGGACACGCGATCGTCTTAGAAGGAAAAACGCCGTATGAGCCTTCAGGCGTTGCCGAATTTCCTCCGATAAAATACGAATTTATTAACACCACCTTCTTTTTCACGTTTGGCGCAATGCGAGAAGTATTTATGCAGTCTTGTAGGCGCTAATATGCCCCGCACTATTGGCGCAACGCTAGAAGTATTCCTGAAGTCTTGCAGGCGCTAATATACGTCAAACGCCGGCCGCACTGAGTTTGGCGCGATTAATCAAACTCGCGTTAGAATAATCGCGGCATCTACTAGTGGAACTTAAGTGGCCTATGTTGTGTTACGACGCCGCATGAGCATTCCAACGTTGCCTTGTTTCTCCCGATTAATTACTTTTTACTTCATTTCGTCGCCCTCCTGACATGAAGGCGTAACTACATTTCCTGATGAACCCTACTGTCATTTAAAATCACTGCTCTCCTGGGATCATCTCAATGTGTAGTTACGCCTTTATGTCAGCCAAGCGACAATTTGTCATTAGAAGGTCAGACACCGATGACTTGTCAACAAACTAACCTAAACTAGTGTTAACATGAAACTGCGTTTTTTTCTAACTGTGTCCTGTTTTCCTGAACTTCTACCTTTAACTTCACTTTGAAATCACGCATTCCTGTAGAGATGTTTTGGTTTTAGACCTTTAGCGTAATCCTGGATTACCGGAAGCACGAATATTTGCATCCAGGCGTTCCAATTGGACGTATTTCTGTCAAACGGAACCATTTGCACTATGACCTAAGCCCCGTTATGCATATATTCTTATGGGTCTCAGGGCTCATGTCTTAATGCACATAGTTCCGTTTGGCAGAAACATGTCCAATTATCGGTGCCGCATTGCACCCACTCAGGTCGAAGAGGTAGTGACTGTGAAACGGCTTCAATATTGTCGATGCGTCTCGGACATCCATGAAGCACGAATTGTTGTATCTGGGCGCTATTCACAAAAAAAAATCCTGTCACACATCGTGAACATCGGCATTTCTAGCCTGCGGCGAAATACATTACCTAAGAAAATTAGTGTAACGGTACTTGAGTAATGACGTGTAAGCTCATTAATAATTAGTTTTTATCGCATATTAAAACCACAGGTTTTATACATCATCTTTCGTACGTCCAACAATTTATTGACGCATGAAGTTTGGAGAAAACTTCAGAAAAGGAGTAGAACAACAGGCATTCTTCGCCAGTTACAGCGATTTTTTACTCATATTCCGATCGCGTTCATGTCCTTACTCTTATCATATTTTCGGTATAGCGCCTCTTAAAAATGTCAGGAATCATCACCTTGCTGATTCCAAGTCATTTCCTCTAAATCGGACTAGATTTTGCAATTCGGAACTAAACTTCTGGCTCATTTTTGAAAACATTAATGATTCAGGGAAACTAATGACACTTACGTTGTTTCTAAACTGAGCCAGAAATCGTAGCTTCTAATTGCAGAATGCAGTTCTGTTAAATTTACGGAAGCTCCTTAATCAAACTCAGTAGAATTGAGCCTGCGGATTAAACACTGTTTCTCCGTTTCAAACTGTATTTCCTGGATCCGCCGATGCAAGGGCGTTACTTTCTGAGGTAGAGAGGATATGGGCAGCTGATCGGGATAGTCCTGTCGTCTTAATAGCTAAATACTTGCTAGGGCTCAAATCAAAATGAAGTTCCATCCTTACGCCAACCAAGCGAATTCTCGCAAAAATCTTTTCATTCTAACCTACTTACACGAGCACACCTTCAAAGATTCTACTTTCATCTCTATCGAGTAATTATTTTAAATATCGGGGGGTTAACGCGCGGGTTTGTGCATAATGAAGAATTTGCAGGTGTCTGAAATTCAATCATTTCACGTTCAAGAAGAAGCTGTTGAGTGAACTGAGTATGAAAACATCCTTGGCTTCTAAAAATGAACAATAAGTAGAGGTGAAATGGCCGAATTACCTAATCAGCTGAAATAAATATGTTTAAATTGGAAATGCGTCCTGGTGACGTCACATGGCGGCAGATTATCTCAATTTCAAAAATACTTTTCTACAATCTCCTACATCGGAAAAAATCATAAGAAATCTTGCGAACGCTGTTCATTCAACATTCTCAGATGCATCAGTAAAAAATTTCATGCAGATCCTCCATTCCGTTGAATTGATTCATGGTGTATTGAGGCCACGAAAAAAAGATATACATAACTTCTTCGGGTTACACTGAAAAAAGGTGTTTGCCTCAAGGATGATGATTCTTGAATTTGCGGCCAAGAATTTTGTTTATCTTGATTTAAGCTGAATTTTTCTTGGTACAAAGAAAATAAAATATTGAGTTAAGCAAACAAGTAGTTTATATTAAGCAGCAAATTCTTGTTTCAAGAAAAAACAATTCTTGGCGGCAAATTTAAGATTCTTTTTGTTCAGTGATAGATCGTTGAACGACCACAAAGCTCGGAAAGTGAAAAATGAGTAACGTTATTAACCTGGTCCACT